GTGAGTTTAGGCAATCCAGTTACACGGACAGAGCCTTATTTAATATTATAACCCATAGTTTAAGTCTTAAAAAAATAAGGAAGTTATAAGGTTGGTTGATCATTGGCTATATAAATATATGACGTGTCACACGTGTTGAGTTATGGCAAGTTATGTGAATAAAGAGTCATGTCACATATTTGAGAATATGGTGACAATGCACCTAGTTTTTGTGAATAAAGAAGTTATTAAATGAGAAATAATGAGTTATGATATGTGTGAGTATGTTTTAAGTGCTTGGTTTCATATGCGTGTGCTTGTTTTATAATTGATATATAACTACATAGGATAGTTTTACCTTGGTTACTGAGTGACTAAACTCACCCCTTTCATTTAACACTTTTCAGGCTCTAGCTCTGGTGCAGAAAGGGAGAAGGCTCAAGAGGTTGGGAATTATCATATTCTTTTTTATATGCCTCTAGCTTAGTTTATTTGTATAATAGTATATATATGCCAATTCTAGATTGCATGCTATTATACTTGCATTATTTTATTATTGCAAATGTCTTATTTGTAGTTTGGGTCTTGAGTATTTATATATGTTGTGATATATATGTTAATAGGGCCAAAATACTAGTGTAAGTGTAAAAATAATGAATTGAACATGTTTTGATTGGTTTGGGTATACTGCAATGCCAATTTGCCTCTCCTTGTGTTATTGGTAAAAAGGGGTTAAGGAGTGAATTTCTGTTATACCGTGGTTTAAGTGCAAGTGACGTATTATACTAGTAGTTCTAAGTTTAATAGACATGGTCCAAGTATTATGAAAGGCTTTTGGCATATGTTGAGGGTTTTGGAAACCCACTTTGAATAAAAGTTGCGAAAAGTGGTTAAAATACGTTTAGGTATCCAACTTCTTGGTATGACTTGTTTTAGAAGTAAAACCCGTGTTATTAGCTAGTTCATATTAGAGCTTTTCATAGATACTTAAATCATGTCATTCTGACGTCGGATGGAGAATCAGGATGTGTTAGAAGTTTCCTGATTTTGTTATAAAATGATAGGAGAAATTGTAGAATTTTCGTGCAACACGCCATGGCGCAGCGTGCACGAGCCACTACACATTGCTTTGTCACATAGTAAAAGAGTTGTTCTTCACTTGTCTTCAATTTCTTTCACTCCTCCAAGGTATCTCATACTTCCGTCACTTATTTTTACTCTAAAACAAAAGATCTTGATCATTTTTAAACTCTTTGTGATTATGAAAAATTTGAGATCCGTTGCTTTTGAATTAAACCTTAGTAATTACTCTTTGGGTTAATCCTTTGATTACCATGAGTTTTATTAGTTAACTGTGCTTAGTGGAGAGAGATATTACAAAATCAGATCGAAATTTAGAAGAGGGAAAGAAAGATAGTGAGCAGATGACCAGTAGTGACCAATGAGTGCTAGGGATCGACCTTGGGGTTACTTTGGAAGCATTTTGGGTATGATGTAGCTTTAGGTAAGCTCCCTACATCTCTCCCTCTCTATATATTCAAATTTTTTAGGATTACGGTATTGTAAGGTTATAATTCGTGTTTTCTTAGGTAATGGCTGAACCCATTAGCTTAGATAAAGCCTTGAAAAGTTAAATCAAGCATCTAAACCTAGATTTATAGATTTTATAGTGATTTTGATTTGGAGTTTTTGGTTAGGGTTTGGATGAACTCTAGGTAAAAATTGGGTGATTTAGAGCAATGTGAGTAATATGTTTAATTGTTAAATAGGATTAATAGAGCATATTAGAAGAATTATTAAGGCTAAATCAAGGTTTTAGATATTATGGGTATCCAAATTATGTTATAAGTGAAGTAATTAGTGTGGATTGATAATTAAAGGTTTAATCTTGTAAATTAGCCATTGATCAAGCATTATGGTGTTAGTAGACAGGTGTGAGGCCGTTGGTTGACCACGGTAACTTTTTTTAATGACAAGAGGGTTAAGGTAATCAATTTGTTTAATCTTCCTATTTGCATGTTTGGATGGTTGTGTGAATGTCTTTGAAACTATTGTGCTTGTTTTAAGCTAATGTAATGTTAATATGAAATGTTTATGACTGAAATTATGTGAGGTGGAATGGCAAATTTATGTTTAGTGTGATTTTTAAAGGCAAAATGCTATTTTTTAAGTATAATCATTTGCGAAACTATGTTTGAGTAGAAATAAATATTTCTGGAAAAAATCATATGTTATGATTGCATGTTGAAGCATTGAGCATGTTTGGCATGATCATTGTGAGAGAGTAGGAGTTTATCTTAGTGTGTGATTAGGGATATTATTTAAAAATTCATATGGCACATTGACACTATAAAGGCCCTGATGCTTAATATTATATTATTTGAAAGCTTTAGTAATATGTGAGGTAGATTGGGCATCGACATCCTTAATATTTGTGGACAAGAAAAATCTATAGTCCATAGTAGACAAAGGTTATCTTGGCCGAGGCTACCTCCTACTAATGGTGAGTTTAGGTCAATCCAGTCACATAAACTGTCTTATCGAGTTGTCAGCTCACAAATTCAGTCGAAAGACATAAGGAAGATATGAAGTAGTGTGTTGATCATGCATATCATACTAAAACCATATGTGTGTATATATGATTTGATATATGTTTATAATGCCATTTCACATATGTACAAACTGTTCTCACACATGAATAGTTTGATTAGACTATTTTGTTACTGAGTTCTTAACTCATCTTGTGGTTACATTTTACAAGTGAAGGCTTTGATAGGGGCAAGGGAAAGGAAGGTGCATCCGAACACCGTGAGGACTAGCTAATGTTTGTATAGTCCTTTCTGTTTTCTTTGGTTTGTAACTAATGAAATATGCATATGCTAACTCAGAAAAAATATATGTCATTTTGTACGCATTTGCATGATTACTATTGTTAATTATAGGTATCTCAGCCTGAGTTGTTGTGTATGTGTTGTAATGATTGTGAGAGGTTGAGATACTAATGCAAATGTTAGTTTTGTGGTAATTTATATGTGAGTTTGGCCATTTGAAAGATTGTGGTACATTTTACCCCTCATTAAATTTATGTCAACTTTAGGATTTTAGTGGGTAAATCTTATTTAGACTGTTGTTGTTAAAGTTTGAATGCTTGTACAGATTGTTATGGTCCATTTGAGTTAGTTCAAATGTTTCATGGTTATTGGCACTTGGTTTGAGGGTTTGGATACTTTGGTAGTGATTTTTGAAAGAAAATGTGCCATTTTAGGTTTGGGTGTCTAAATCTCATTTGACTTAATATTTAGGTGTGAGATCAATGCTAATAGTTAGGTGGCTCTAAGAGCTATGTGTAAATACTTGAATTGCTTAAATTGGACATCGGTCGACAAAATGGGGCGCTCCAAAAATTAGCCCGGAGAGCTATCATAACAAGGGTGTACTTAGCAGTGCATTGTCTATCGCACCACGGCGTGAGGCACAAAAAGGGACATTTCCTTTTATGCAGTCTGCCGAGGCACATTGTGCCTTTATGGCTAAAAAACCTTCAGTTTTACTTAATATTTTCATGTGGTAAATTCTCATACTTTTGTTGTCTTATTTATTTGGTTTAAACTATAGTTTGAGCTTAAGCTGCTTTTCAAAAAGAGTTTTATTGAGATCCAATTTTCTTAAATATTCTTTTAACCCTTGTGTTATGATGATCATTTTATTAGGGTCAGGCTAATCCTAGTTATCATAACGATATTGTGTTTTGTATCTTATGTGTTTGGTAATGCTGGAATGGATATTATATTGCACTTGTCAAGTTGCAAACCCAAGCGTTTTGACTTCTCTCAACTTTGAAATGTTGTCCAAGTCAAAAAAAGAGCCCGATTCGTGACAGATTCAGGTAATCGGCGACGTCCACTATGATCAGATTCTTTGGAATGGCGGGTAATGAAGGTCAAGAGGTTGATGAAACAAGAAAACAAACTTCGAGAAGGAAGAAATAGAGGGACTCAACTCCAATTTGTGACTAGACAATGGAGGAGATGCCGAGGACATACGAAGGAGTGAGATGAGAGAGCTCAAGCAAAGATGGGAGTGACAGTAAAAGTGTGAAACACAAGCTTGGTTGCAGGAGAAGAATGCAAATAATTGAGGGAATTATGGTCAAATACAAAATTTGGTACTAGTCATTAATGCTCTGATGGTCACATTTACGTTTGAAAGGATACCAGATAGAGCTTTGAAAATTCCACATTTCAACCCATTTCAAAAGTCTTGTTTCAAAGTCAGTTTGCTCTCAAAAAATTATCCGAAACAGCTTTTCACATCCTAAAAGTGAAAAAGTACTTTTGGGATGTGAAAAGCTTTACCAAATAGTGCCATGAATAAGAAATTCAGAATTTTATTTTTAATATGGGAAGAAATAAATTATTTTAAATAAGTTTAAGTTGTTTAAATCATTTGAAATAAATTCAAATTATGTTGAAGAATAAAATAGTTTTCTATCCATTCGATTCAGTTAATAAAAAAAAAAAACCATACAAGTTTAGTCAAAGGTTGTGTCGAGCCTTGAGAATGCAATATCTTTGGTCATAAAATTTTTACTTGAAAACATTATAGCTTGATTCAAATTAATCTAGTTTATATCAAGTTTCCTTAATTCAATATATGGCAAGTTCAAGATATTGGATGTTTTAAGTAAAAAAAAAAGAAATAGTTTCCTTAAACCATTTAAGTGATCATGGTTCAAAATAGTATAAATTAATAAAGTAAATGTATTGAATATTATACTAAGAATTTATTACGTCAAAGCATGCTTTTAGATTTAAAAACTATTTACAAATGTATTTATAAATTATCTGTTAATAAAAATTTTCACACTGACATAGTAAAATTTAATTTCATAATTTTATAGGTTATTAATTAAATTTTTATCAACTAAATCAATGTTCATTGTTGATAGCTCTCATGTAAATAAAATGTCGTTGGTTTGATTTTGCTTATGATTTCAGGATAAATGGAGAAAAAACGACGAAAGAAGGAACTATAAGCAGAGAGGGACGAGGAAAATGGCGAGGATATGCAGGCGCGCAAGCCTTGTTGATAATCCACCACGTGGCCTCAGGCACACAAACACTTGGCGCTCCGATGGATTCCCTCTGGCTGTGGGCTGTGGCGGAGTGAAATACTATTCAGTCTGATAATAGCGTCCTTCACGCACCACCTCCCGCTAAAGCTTGCAGCAATGGATACTCCTGTGAACAGCCGCTCCTCGTCAATGGCCAAGCGTCCCTGTCCTCCCCCAAACCAGAACCCTAGATTTCAAAACCTCAACCAGGTGGATCAGCTCCTCGAAGATTTCCTCCGCCTTTCCGAATTCCCTTCCCTCTCCCTGGATCTCTCCTTGGAGAGGCTTCTCTCTTCATTGCCCACCGATGCCGATCAGACCATTCTCATCAATCGCGCCCTTCATATGGGATCCATGCTTCTTGATGCTGCCAAGCACTCTTCCCGAAAGCGAGCCTCCAAGCACAATTCTTTTGTTTGGCCCCTCCCTCCTGACCTTACCGTCAAAGTATGTCCTGCTTATCTTCTGTGGTTGATTGCGTCCCTCTCTGGATTTTAATTTTCTTTCTATTTGATATTCGTCTTTGATTTCAGGAAATGTTTGTTGCATGTTAATTATTTCTTTTCATTATTCCTCTCCTCTTCCCTTTTGCCTGTGAATTTGATTATAGTACCTCGTTGCATTACGATGATTTTATTGTTTTCCATGGCGACTTTGTTGTACATCAGATTTCCTTCGATCTGACTGGCAACTTCCACTTCTGCTTGGCTGGAAGATTTTCCTACTTTGTAACCTGAGCATAGCATCTTGGTCATTACGAGTATTATTTGAAGTCACTTTATTCTACTATTCCTCGCTTTCCCTAGATGCAGATATTTCATTTCTATTTCATGTGGCAAAGTCTAAAGATGTCCCGTTTTTCCGCGACACTTTATGATTTATTTTTGAGTCGGTTAAAACGATGTTGGAATTTTACGTGTGGGTTTGCCAGCGATGTGATTGTATGCTACTGTGCATACGCACACATATACTTCTAATAATATTTTCGGGTCTTCTGATTATCGAAGCCATGAGGACGCAAAATACATGACTCTTTGGTTATTTACTTCTTTTGAATAGAAATGATGATTATTGTTTAGTAGAGCTAATGCTTTTGTCCATGATAGTCTTTCTGGAGGAAGAAGCGGTTCGCGCGCGCGCGCATATTTGTACCCCGGTTTCATATGTTTTTAACATGCTTTGTATAAGGAAGTATGCTTTATGGGTGTTGATCATTTGCCATGCCTCGTGTTGTTCAGGTGTTTTCTTTGCTTGATACCCAGAGCCTATGCTATGCAGCAGCTACTTGTTCTATGTTCAACAAATGTGCCAGGGATCCTTTGTGCTATGAAAACATTGATTTGACAACACTTGTTCCCAAGGTTAACAATGCAGTAGTTTCCACGATGATTCAGCGAGCTGGAAAGGCCTTAAGGTATGAACTTTTGTAGCGGTCTGGTTCTATCAATGCTACAATTACTTTTGTTAGCATGTTAACTTTAATTTACTGAGGAGTCGAAGATGATTAAAAAGGATTTATTATATTTTCTTATAGTGAGCTAAAACAGGAAATGGGTTTGACATACTTTATTTGTTTGGGTGTTCTCTCTTATCTGCATTGGCGCTCATAATTTATAAGCGACTCATCTCTAATGTTATATTACTTCCTCCTACCTCTAAATTTTAGTTCCTGTTAGAATGTGGTGTGTTAATGGTTTAAATTCAATCCTCTGTGTACTTTTACAATATAAGTTTCATAGTCTCTGATTTTTCAAAAGGAAAAGAAAAGAACTTTTGTTGGTCATTTAACCTGATTCTAATTTCTTGTGTATGATTTGCATTATTATGTCTTTTCCCTAATTCTCATTTTCTGTGCGTTTATTTTGGTTGTTTTAAACTTTTGATAGGTCTCTTAGGCTCGGTGTAGTTGCTGGTGCTCACGCATCGCCAGGATCCTGTCAGCCATTGGTTTATACCATCAGAAATGCCATCGTGGATGTATCTAACTTTTCATGGAATGACAAGAGATCTCGGCAAGGGAGAGAGTCATCCATTCTTACTAGATCCTGTTTAAGCCCTTTAAACGGATGTGGTGGTGCTCCAGGGTATGGTGGGTTAGACTTGAGCCTTCTTCTTTGGATTTTTTTAAAATAAACTGTCAGATTTTCTTTTTGCAGGACTCTTCTGAGAAAGTTGCACTTGTACAATATTGAAAGAATCGACAATGCATCCCTTTGTGCGGCATTAGCGGCCTGCCCTTCTCTACTTGACCTGGAAATAGTTGGACTGTAAGCTCTTATTGTCTCTCTTATTAAATTCCATCTGGCATAAGTGGGCTGGAAATCCATTTCTTGAACCTTTTAACCTAGAGACTTCAAATGTAGTTGATTTAGTTTAAACTTGTTGCTCTTTTCTATTAGAATTCAACATACTTAATTAAATTCAATTAGCATAATCAGAGTGAAAATCCTTTGCTGGAACTAAGCTATTTTGTGACTACAATTTATTTAGTAATATTATTAAATTTTGATATTTTGATTCCATAGTGTAAAATTTGAAAGGGATCAGCTGCACTTGAATTTTCTTGGTAAAACTTCTCAAGTATCCAATTTTGTCCAAATAATCATTTTATAAGTACCAGTATTGGTATTTTACCTGATTTTACACTATTCTATTTCTTATGATTAAAAAAGGTTGCTTACGAATTATAACATTATTGATAGTGATTGCTTTGCTTTTTGTCTGGTAGTCATGTAGAACTGAGGCAAACATTAATGACAGTGAGTACGAACTGCCACTTGATTGAGCGTTTGTTTTTTGAGTCTTCAAAAACAGGTATCGTATGTTTCCAGCTGGATTTTGACTTTTAAGGATCTCTGCATTCACAGATATTCACTTATCTATTTTTGATTTTTTTCTTATTAGGCAGAGATGACAGTTTGAAAACGCCAACCTGCATTCTTCTTGTTAACAGTTGTCCCCATCTAATTTCTTTGTCCCTTAGAGGGTTTAAGTTACATGATTGTAAAGTCCGTATACTGCTTAAGGTATGTTCCCAAGAACTGTACGAAATTCCACATACCATGTTGATTAAGCACGAATAAACTAACATGTGCACATGCTTCCAATGCTCTTGCCTTGTGGGTGTGTTAGAGATTTATGACATTTTGGTTAAATATGGCAGTTTCTGGTGAATCTTGGATAATAATTATCTTTTAGTAAGTTTACTCTGTAAACGGTATATGTTCCCCCCCCCCCTCAATATACACTTTTTATTTCGTGATTTTTCTTATTAATTGTGTGAAGACATCTGCCAGGTAAGAAGGGGTGAGGGCAGAGTTGTGAAGGGAATGACTCTTTAAGTCAAGCTCGTGATTTGCACTTCACTGTGTTTCTTTCATGCACTGCTACCCTGCTTGAACCTCTGTTAATGTCTGTTGGTGTCCATTTTTAGTCTTGATAATTTGTCTGACATTTTTTATAATGTGGTAGAGCTGAAGATTCAGGGCAGATTTACAAATAATTTCCTATGGCCTATAGCAGAATCTATGGGAAGGGAAATAGGGTAGGAAAGTGGATAAGAGAACTATCTTGAGGTTCCTGGCCATAGGGGAAAAGAAGTGGTATATGCGTAGGGAATAGGTGCAACTAGGGGTATCTTCAGTCTTTTGTAACTTTTGGATCTTTAAATCTTCTCTTTCGTCCAGGGAGAGGTAGGTTCTGTCTTTTGAAAATTGGGAGTGGCAGGAAGAGTATTGGCCTCTCGAATGCCTGGTTGGGGGGTGGAGGAAGATCATCTTTCTTTCCTTTATTATTTTCTCTTTCTGTTTTAGTGTGTTAGTGAGTTTGAACTTGCTGAGTGCAATTTCCCTTTGTATCCTCTGTGTGAGTTTTCTTACATTGCGAGTCCCTTTCATTCCATTGGGGAGAAAAATGTTTTGATGTTTACTATAGATTCAGTGTTTGGTATAAACTATTCTGTTTGGGCTCTATCATAATGATACTGAGTTCCTGATAGTTTACATTCAAACTTCATTTGTCTCGATAATAATAACTTGGAAGTACTACTTCTGTAGACAGGTACACGCTTGTGTAGAAGAATGTGTGTGTTGACTCGCCTTCTTTTCCCATTGACATGTGACTGCATATAGCATCTATAACTAGACAATCTTCTATTCACACTCCCCCTCCCTCACCTGAGGGGAAAAAAAGGAAAAATCTTGATTGTAGCATCTTAAAGTTTGTTCCCTGCTATTATGGTGACTTTGTGTTGCCGATGCTGGATTTGGGTGCTTGTACATGTGCAGGGATTTCAGAAACTAAAATATGTTGATTTTTCAACATCCTATTCAATCACTGGAAACTTTTTAAGGTCAGCTATTTGTAACTGGACAAATTTTCTCAAAACCTCCTGAGATTTTATTCATGTGTTAATATCTTTATTTATGTCCTAATATCTTTCAGAAACCTTGGAAGTAGCAATGGAGGGAATTCACTTGAGGTATTGATTTTGAGGGACTGCATGCATCTGAAAGAGGTGTGGATTGTAATACATATTCATTTGTTCCCTTCTTCCCAAACTATTTCCTCTAAACCTTTTAAACCTGTTGCAGGTGGAAGTTGCTAGATTGTTGACGTCAATTCTCGCAGGAGATTTCAAATGTCTTGTACATCTTGTGGGTTCATAGAAATGTGTATTTTTTATTTTTTTAAGTGACATAATACTGAAATTCTGCTAGACCTCATTTTTGCGTGTAGTTCTTACTATTGGCTTAAAACAGGACATATCCAATAGGGAAGGCTTAGCATCTGATGGGGACTGGTATCACAGGTGCTACAACTCTAGGTAATGGTTTTCTTCAGTAAATACACATATACTCTCAGGGTGGCTTATGTCGTGATTATATCATTTAAATATAAATTGTCTCTTTGCTACAGTATCATGCCTCTTAAGCATGTTTTGGAAGCAAGGCCTGATTTGTGTTTGCTGGCTGAATATCCATCAGAAGGAAGGTTAGATGGTTCTGCTAATAAGCCTTCATATTTCCAGGGGCTTGGTTTTCCTATTTCTCACTAAAATGATGCCAGCTGTTGTGTTCTGGATCATGTTGCAGTTACATTGAGACATTTTATGCTGAACTGAATGGTGATATGAGTTTTCCATTACAATTGAGCAGCCATACCTCAGATGAAATAAATTGTTTGAGTACATCTGAAAGCAGCTACAATAGTGATCAGGGCAGTGGCAATGAGGATGGTCAAGAAGCCAGCTATGTGATTTGTGAGGAAAGTTCAGATGAGACAGACTTTCTGGCCCTGTAGGGGATTCTCAACGTATGGCATTAATTGAAGAGGACAATAATTTAGGGAACTAGGTACTATCTTTCACTTTCTCTGTGTGCTGAAAATGAAATGGTCATGTGAGTTGTGGACAGGTTCACATTGTTTTGTTGGTTGATTTTTGGCCACCATTAATTAGAAGTTTGATGTGCCTTGACTATGTTATAGACATTATTGATGGAAGGTATATCCAGGAAAAAATGAGTTGTTCTGCTGAGTGCCATACTATTTCTTGGTTTCTATCTCTGCATGCATGCTTCTATCCTCTTCAATGAGGCTCTCGCAATTCACGTATTATGAGGAAACTGGAATAGTATTTGGTACTATCTGATTCATCAAGAATAAATGTACAACTTTGATGCTTCAAAACTCCGTTGAGTTTGCAGTGTTTTTTCGCTCAGAATTCAATGCGTTTTACTTTCTTTACCTAATGTTTGTAATTTATGTTTTATGTACATACTAGGGAAGCAGAAGAGCAATAAGGATATGGAGTATGGACTTCTGGGTATTGAATTCTTGCAACTTTACTTTTGTTCTGGCCTACAATGAAATTGATATTCGTTTGATCTTGGAATCTGCAGGATGTTTGGAGTTTAGATCCAGTTTTATAGCCGGCAGTTGTTCCTTATGTGGAAATGTAAATTTTCTGCCGCAGTGGAGCCTGGTTCTCTCCGTTGCACGCCTCTCCAATAATCCTCCCCCCTCAGTTCATCGTGTTTATTGAAGACACCTTCTAGTATCTATTTCTGGTGTCCTTCTGTCGCTTAATGAGAAATGTGGAAAGTAATATGTTTATGCATATATTCAAGAGCGCAGGAGAGGGAGAGAGTGTGTTTTTGTGCCTTGCTCCCTTTATGTTATGGCAGGCGCAAAGTATGAAGGGATTTGTCCCTCGTGGTAAAATAAAATTAGAAAGGGTTTTGAGACTGAGCAGATTGGCTATAAAATTTTTTATGAGCAGGTATCTATTGTCAGCGAATGTATATGCTTGGACCTACATGCATGCAACCACCTTCATGTTATTCTCTGTAAGAGAGATTGTTTGAAGTGTATTTTATTTTCCTGAGTTTGTTTCTGGCTGATAGCTCAATGTTTTAAATTTTTTTAGGAAAAAAATTGTTGGAAAGGTCATCCTTTATTAATCGAGTTTTATGCTAATGGCTATGAATTCGTTGCCAAAGGCATATTTCACTACATTCTGAAATCGGAAGAAGGCTGATCAAATAAGTGGGGGATTTTCTAAGTATATACTGGGCCCGTGTCGAGTTCCAAGTTGAAGATCAAGCTTCATGTCCTGAAGCATGGAAGCTGTCTCTGAGAGAACTAAGCTTTGTATGTCAAATGTCAGACGGGAAACTCCTTATTTGGGCTTTCATCTCTTAATGCTTATGGTTGGGGGCAGCTAGAATTTGAAACGTGCGAGGATGGTGGAATAGAAGTTTGTTTGATTAATCAGGAATGGCGCTACCCTACATCTCCCTTTGAAAAGATAGTTGAATTGGGCTGCATTCCTCATGAGGCAGAAGCTAGTGGGCAGACTCAAGAAATGGCAAGAGTTTGAGAGAGGATGGTTCAAGTCCAGAGAGCTTCTGTAGCATAGGTTATACGGGTTTTTTGCGGTGTGTTGATTAGGGACGAGAATTGCTTGTGGATTTCGGTCTTCGCAGAAGGCTAGAATAAATGTTTCGTCCACAAGTCTAAGGGTTTGTTTGTTTTCTATTTTTAAAAATTATTTTTGGTTTTAAAAAACAAGAAAATTTAAAAACATGTTTGCTTAAGTGTTTTTTATTTAATTGTCTCCAAAACTGTTTTTATATTTTGTTTTTTAAAAAACAAAAAAAAAAGGAAACAACTTTAGTTGTTTTCATTTTATTTTTTAAAATAAGCTATATTTAATTATTGAAAATTACAATTACCTTAATCAATTTTTATTATAAATCATCACCATTAATCACCTATAACCTTTATTATCAATCTATTTTTTAATTCTAAAATTGTTTTTAAATTTACATAACAAAACAAATTTTCATTTTATTTTGTTTTGGAAACAATTTTAAAAATTGTATTACAAAATAATTTTTAAAAATAAAAAATAAAATAAAAACCAAACAAACCCTAAATTTTGGGATTTTATTGATGGCCTAGGGCTTCAACGAGCACGAGATAACAAGGGTATAGTATGTGACTCCAAGCTGCTAGTAGAGAATTAAGGCTGCCTTTGGCAACACAGCTTTTAACTTTCTGACTGTTAAAAATTGTTTCGGTTAAAAATAAAGAGATAAAATGGATTTATGATTGTGTTTTTAGAAAGTGGGTGAATATGGATTGGCTCAAATTTGGGAGAGGTTTTGAAATGTGCATTTAAGTGTTGGGATATTAATGAGATAGTTAATTTTTTATATTACCATATTAGCCCTCATTTATCATTTTTCATTCGCCTCTCTGCATCTATTGGTCAGCCTCTTATATTATATTTCCTTTGTTTTAAATTTTAAAACAATTTAAGGTAAGATTACACATATCAATAAAACTGAACAATGATATTTAACAAATTTACCTTTTCAAAACAAAGCTATAACTTTTTAAAAATGCTTTTTGCACTTAATCATTATACTGCTGCGACGACGACGACGATAATGACGATGAAAACGGCGGCGACAGCAATAAGTTTTATCCCATTAGATGGATCAGTTATATGAATTGTACAATGCTATTATGATCTATCATGTATCAAACTTTTAGAAATCTTGTTAAGAGATTGCGTTCAATAACTTTTAAAAGAGGTTTATTTGGCCTTCCTCTATCCTTCTTAATAGGATTTAAAATTATCCATTGTACTTTTTTCACTGGTGCCTCTCGTAATCTTCTTTGTGCATGTTCAAATCATCTCCAATAATTTTCTACTATTTTCTTCTCAATAGGTGCTACGCTAACTTGTTCATGTATGTGCTCATTTTGGATTTAATCTTTACATGCATGTTTGAACATCCATCTTAACATTCTCATATCTACTACTCTAACTTTATGCTCTTATTATTTTATTAAAGTCAAACATTTACTATCACATAATATAGCTGATCTTATAGTAGTTTGATAAAAACTTTCTTTAAGTTGATTAGGCACTTTATAATCACAAATAACTCCTTTAATATTTTTTTAATTAAACCACTTAACTTATATCGTATGTGCAATATCACTTTTAATTTTTCTATCATGTTGAATAATAACTCCCAAATATCTAAACTTTTTTACTTGAGGTGTAATCTAATCTTTCAGTTTTACTTCTAAATCACTACTGACTAACTTCGTATCAAAATTACAACAAAAATATTATATTTTACTCTTATTCAGGTGAAAACCTTTTGACTTCAATGTTTTCCTTTATAATTCAAGTTTACAATTAATCTTTTCCTTTATCTCTATAATAAGAACTATATCATTCTTGAAAAGCATGCATTTGAGAATTTCTTGTTAAATAGGCTCAGTCAAAATATCTAAGACTAAATCAAACAAATAAAGACTCAAATATGATCTTTGATGTAATATGAATGTTATAGAAAAATCCTTTTGTTTCACTGCTAAACATACTTATACTAGTCGTATATCCCTCACACATATCTTGTATAGCTCTAGTATTAACAACTCATGCTTTCTTATTTTTCAAGGCTCTCTAAAATGCTTCTCTCAATACATTATCGTAAGCTCTTTTCAAATCAATAAAATCATGTGTAAAATTTTACCTTTACATTTATACTTTTTTATTAATTCTATTAGTAGATAAATTACTTCTGTCATTGCCCCATCGAGCATGAAGCCAAATTGATTCTCAAAAATACTAGTCTTCAATCTCAATACATGCTCACTCTTTCCCACAATTTTATTGTATGACTCATAAATTTAGTTCCTTTGTAGTTAGTATAATTTTAAATATCCCATTTATTTTTATAAATAGGAACTAAGGTGTTTCTCTTCTAATTGTTAGGCATTTTCTTAGACTATAAAATCTTATTAAATAACTTAGTTAGCCACCACATCCATTCTTCAACTAAATATTTTTCACGTTTCAATAGGGATGCAATCAATTTGCTCAAAAAAAAAAAAAATAGGGATGCAATCAAGTTTATTGGCTCTATCATTTTTCATGTTCTTAAGCTTCTTTTATCTCACTATCACGTATCCTTTGGTAGAATAACAAATTAATCTAACCTTTTTCAAAATTGTTTTATATTTTGGAATAATTAAATTCCTCCAAAATTATCTTATAATTTAAAATAGAGAGAGTATTAAAATGCATTTTAATTTATCCACCTCGTTTAGATGTTTTATACTATTATATTAAAATATATAAATATAATATGGTGTTTTAGACTATTTTTAAATAATAAATTTCCTAATTTTTTAAATTATATAAATGTTTTATAGTATATTAAAATTTTATATATTATTAAACCATTTGACCCGTAGCGGAAACAATCCAAGCACTAGTGATATCCTATCTTATGGCCATGCTATTTTTTTTTCAATTAATTTTAAATATTAATATATATTAAACTATTTATAAAATTTTTATCCAATGTGTTAAATTTTGAATTTCTATATTCTTATTATTTAACACATCAAATTTCATGTTATTTAAAATAGTTATCATATATATTTTTTAAATATTTTAAAATATGAAGCATTTGTGTAATAAAAATTATAAATGATAAATCAATTTTTTTATAGTTCTACATTTAATTTTTTTTTCATTATATATAATTTAAATAACTTTTGGTTTACTAAAATGATCTTTAAAAAATTCTCATCTAAATACAAATTTTCTTATAACAATTAATTTTTGTAAAATGAACATTTAAGTTTTAGCATAGAAAATCAATTTGCCACTAAACCTTCCTCAAGTTTGATGGGAAGTTACTGATGGTAAAATTAGTACAACACGAATTGAGACAATTCGGAATGCGTATTGATGATCTTGTCAATTTTGCTGTGATACTATAGTGATGCTCCCACGTTCTGCCATTGCACTTGATCACACTTTTTTTTTTTTGACAATTTTATTTATTTATTTGTTAATATAAGATTTATAATTTAAATTATTATTTTTAGAGCTTTCTAAATAATACCCCCTCCATCTTAAATTATAAAACACTTTTAGATAAAATCTCACATATCAATAAATTTTGTTAAATACATTTAATAATTTTATCTTTTTAAAATAAAAATATAAATTTTTAAAATATATATAATTTAATATATTAAAAAGAAAAGAGACAAAAATCAATTACAGAGAGAGAAAGGATAATATTAAAATTCATGTATTTAATGAAACTTTAATATATCCAAAATGTCATATATTTTAAAATAAAAAATTTTTTTTAAAAGTGCCTTATAATTTGAGACGAACTTGACAACACAATTAGAGTTTTAAATTTATAATTTTAAAAAATGATAATAAAACTTTTCTAATCTATATAAATGATAAATTAATCTTTTAAAATGTCATAATTTTTTTAAAATTTCTAGAGATTTTTTTATTATTAATAAATTTATATTAATTATCAAATTATTTTTATTAAAAATAAATAATTCATAAATTTTATTTAAATATTTCATAATTTTTTTATATTCACAATAATATAACGGTAAATCACAATTTCACATATTAAATTTTTTATTTATTATTATATTATTATGAATATAAAAAAATTATAAATATTTAAATCAACCTTATAAATTATTTATTTTTAATAATTTATATTAATTTATTAATGACATAAAAATATTTTTTAAAGATAAAAAAAAATTATGACTGAAAAAATTTAATTATTATTTATATATTTAAAAAAGATTTTGTCGTTATTTTTTTAATTAATTAATTAAATGATTGAATAAATTTGCCAATTTTTGCGTCTGCACTCTCTGCTTTCCCCTCTCGTCCCTTTCCTCCTTCCGGTCTCGCATCAGATGGCGACGAGCACAAGTAGCAGCAGTAACCAACCATACAGACCTTACCGCCATCTCAAAACCCTAACTGCTCACCAACGTGCCGTCTCCTGCGTCAAATTCTCCAACGACGGCTCTCTTTTGGCTTCTGCTTCTCTCGACCGAACCCTAATCATCTGGTCTTCCCCCACGTTCTCTCTCCTACACCATCTTACCGGGCACTCCGATGGCATCTCTGACCTCGCTTGGTCCTCTGACTCTCACTACATTTGTTCTGCCTCCGACGACCGAACCCTCCGCATCTGGGATGCTGGCGCCTCTAGCGGTGAATGCGTTAAAACCCTCCGTGGCCACTCCGACGTCGTTTTCTGCGTCAACTTTAATCCCCAGTCTAATTTCATTGTCTCTGGTTCTTTTGATGAAACGATTCGGATCTGGGAGGTTAAGACAGGCAAGTGTATTCATGTAATCACTGGTCATACTATGCCTGTCACCTCTGTGCACTTCAACCGAGATGGTTCCCTCATCGTCTCCGGCAGCCACGACGGTTCCTGTAAGATTTGGGATGCTAGCTCTGGCACTCTCTTAAAGACCCTGATCGACGATAAGGTTCCTGGCGTCTCATTCACCAAGTTCTCGCCCAATGGCAAGTTTATACTTGTTGCCACTCTTAATGACACTCTGGTTAGTTTGGCTTTTTCCTCTAATCTTGTTATTTCATGAAATTTTTCCTTCCACTTGATTGGTGCATAACTTCTGCCCGATAATCTTGTGGACGATGATGGACCATCATTTGGATTGGTCGATCAACTGCCCAAGAGAATACCTTGAGTGTTTTATTACTGATGCTAATATCTGTGTAATTTATTAAGTGGGCGGGCGGGCAGTAAAACATGCGTATGATTGTATGAGTATTCTTGATTATCATGTTGTTAATCGGGATCCTTCTGTTTTCTGTTTATATGCCTCAAACGTTTAATTGTGTGGCACGCCTATTTAGTTTCAGTTGTGGCACGCCTATTTGGATAAGAATTTTTACAAGTTTATAAGCGAATTGCAGAATAATATGATGAAGATGGAAAAGTCATGAACCCTTAGGGTTATTATGTAATGATAGATGAAAGAAGGCTGCTTTTGAAGGGCCTATGTGTAAAACCTGCTAAGACCAAGTAACTCAGAATTATAATTTTCTGTTTGTTGATATATTCAGAAAATCTATTTTTCTATAGTTATCTATGTCAACCTTCAAACTGAATGTTAGAACAGCTGAGTTAATAATTAGTTATCAATTCTGTTAGTAATTTGGGTGTTGAATTTTTCATATTTGGGATATTGATTTGGGTTTTGGGGTTGATGAAATAGTTCTTGTCATTCTTGCTTTAAATGTCTAGGGTTGTAGTTTACTACGTTGCTGATTTTCTTTTATATTTCTTCCTGTGGAAACAAAATGTCTGGATGCAGAAGCTATGGAACTACTCAATGGGGAAGTTCTTGAAAATTTATACAGGTCACGTGAACAGAGTATATTGCATAACTTCAACATTTTCTGTGACAAATGGGAAATATATAGTCAGTGGATCAGAAGATCGCTGCGTTTATTTATGGGATCTCCAGTCGAAAAATATGGTTCAGAAACTTGAAGGCCACACAGATACTGTAATATCTGTTACCTGTCACCCATCAGAGAACAAAATTGCTTCTGCTGGCCTTGACGGTGATAGAACGGTGAGGATTTGGGTACAAGACCCCTGAATTGGAGCGAAAATTGTACTACAACAACAACAATAACCTTAGGGAGGATATAGAGCGAGCGAGACTGTATATGGATTAATTTGTCCGTCATACGTCGTAATTTTCTTCTTTCAATTCTACGCTATCTTAATACATTGAATGAAAGCTTTTGTTCACGCATGCAAATTTTGAGGGAGTTTTCTTCTACCATTGTTATCTTGATTTGACATTGGGATGTTCTCAAGTGACATCTGCTGACTAGTTTGATTCTCTAAACATGTTTGGCATATGAAAATAATAGCTTGTCAGGTAACCAAATAAAAAAAGGTTTGTCAAGGTTCATGAGTCAGCAATGCACTTTTGATTCATCCATTCACGAACCTAAAAAACGTTAGTAACGTGAGTTAGATTTTACCTCAATATGAAAGAACTTGAATCAATGCAACTGACTTGTACTATGAAGTGGCATTATTAACGTGATGTACGTCAGTTTTCTTCTTTGCAAGGTGGGTTGTGAGGGAGGATAACCTGGAAAGCTAAATGTTTTCAAATTTGGATGAATCAAGGATGCAGTTACCAATGGTTAGATATTCTGCTTTGATTTGTAAATGAGCCAGCCCAAAAGGAAGTGAATTGGGCAAATAAAATTTTTAACAAATAATGCTTAATTAAAATGAGATAAGTAAAGGAATGATATTACTAATTAATTTGAGAGTAAAGGAGAGAAGTATATTTATCTTAGTTTAACTCTAATCATTTAAGTTTATATCTAGTCCTTAAATTTCACTTGTGATTTTGCTCTACTAATACCACCACCATTAATCTAAGTTTATGGTTGTCCAAGGACAATTTCAGACCTGAAGTTTGTATCACTCCCTTTTACAAAGGCAAAGATATAACCCAATTAAGTTTCCTAAATTTAAGTCCTTTGTTTCAAAAAAAAAAAACATGGATGAACATAGTATGCTCAACAAATGAACAACTCCTACAAATACTCTCTTTAAGAATATATTTACAACCAATGAGGCACACAATACAATAAATGTAATCACAAAAAGTAGGTAATGAATTGAATGCTTAAAATCACATAATAACTCTTATACGCCTGTATTCATTAATGTACCTATTGATAATTAAGGTTGATAAAAAAATCTGTTAGATATATTTAATTAGCTGTTAGACTCTTCTTCTTTTCCTATGACCTTCTCTAAAAGTATAGCAATAGCATAGTACTTTTTGGCAAAGTTTCATGCTCACGACAATTAAAGAAATAAACGACAATTGTAATGTCTCTCTTGATATTACCATTCAACCCTCAAACTCTCAAATTAACAAATAAAATATTTTAAAAAGGGTTGAGATTCAAACTTAAAACATTTGGAACCTTTAGAAGGCTTAAAAATTCTATATGCACAGCTTGAATGAAACGGAAGAAACCAACTATTTCATGCAAAATAGGGCCATGGTGTTGGCCCTGTACCGTGTGTCATGGTGTACGTATCAGATTCTACTGTTAGAACAACAATTTTGATATGAACTTTAAACATGCACTATTTTTGCCCTCAATATCTGATTGGGGTGATTCAAGCGTTCACACAAAGCGTGTTTCAAAATCTAACTAATAACACTAATTTCATTTAAGTCTAATATCTCATTTAAAAGTTGAAAACCTAAGTGTATTTTGACCATTTTAAATCAAAACCTTTCACTTAAGCATCACAATTTGAAACTACAAGTTATTGGTCACTTCTAAGGCCATGACCACGTCTAATGGAATAACTAACACATGATTGACCAATTATATACACAATATTACACACACATATAAATTTGGCCAAAAAATCACCTACACACACACTTGGGCATAACTGCTCATTTCACATAATTCACTTTATTGGCCAGGCTTGTCACATTCATCACGTATCCATTCAATCCACATGCATATGGATTTAATTCCTAGCCTAAATCACCACAATCATGTCCAATACATGTATATACACCATACCAAGCTAGAATTCAAAAGTCACATATACATATGCATTCACAAAACTATGCACATTTATAGATTCTTATGGCAACTTATATATAATTTTCAAAACTTATATAATATAAATTCATTACACCAACTTCTTACTATGGGCAACTAGAAAGAGATATCCTCTAGTTCTGGATCATATCTTTCCTTCTCGCAGCACTAGAGTCAGAACATGAAAAAATATAAATAACCACAGATGAGATAACAATCTCATGAATCAAAATAGTTCATTAATGCTCATTAACATAATAACCATATATAAATAAATAAAACCAAAGTACTAGTTTATATATCAAATGTAGACAAAAAAATTTTTTCTTTTGAATATTTTCACACAATCACAACCACTAGCATGATTCTTTATCCACTTATCCTCCAAAACTTCTTAACTTGAAACCATAAGCTCTAATGAATCAATTACATATTAATCCAAACACACCTTCAATGATAGAAACACCCAATCAAAGGTATTTTATCCCATTTTCGAACTACAGTTTCTCCCTTCACACTCATTGATGATAAGGTGTCATTGACTCTTAACTACACCCTCACAGGTACTAAAGAGTTGTCAGACTGCATTGATGTCCTATGGTAACAATCCTAATATAATGCTACATCGGATGTCTCATAATGCTAGCCTGATCACATGAATTTATGTGCGCGCGCGCGTGTGTGCGTGTGCGCACGCGCGCGCTTTTATTTAAAATCTCTTTAGAATAAACATTTCAAAACCCTTTTTTAATGCTAAATCATGCAAATCAGAAAACATATCAAAAATCTTGCAAGCATCAAACTCATTTATACATTTACTTTAACGCAGTTATAATAGTTAATAAATATAACAAACTATATGTTTACTTCAACCCTTCTGTTCTTAAGAAAGGTTATCCATGGTACATTTCCTTATTTGATTTCCTTTTGCCCAATTTACACACTAACCACGTGAATCTACATAAAAATAGCACCAAAGTCAATTGCCATATTGACTACAAGTACTAATTACAATAGTTAGACATTAAATTACCCCCAACTACCCATCTTAAGTTCATCTACATATTTACACCCTTTTATCACTTATTACAACCTTATTGAGCTTCTATCTAAATTTCCACCCATCTCCTTTCTCTAAATTTAATCAATTTGAGCTTACAATTTTAAAACTTTATCGTTAAAGCTTAACTAAGGTGCAAAGTCATAATTTAACTCTGAAGAGCCTTTTTATTACTATAGGGTAAAAAATTAACCCTTAAAGCTTTTGAATTTAATTTTTCAATAGTTTAAACTAAGAGAAAATAGTATAAAATTAGAGGTTAAGATGGTACGAGACTTACTCGATAAGTAATAAGTTAAAAATGCAGGTCTTGCTCTTGAAATCACTTGCCCTAGCAGAGGTCACTTCCTTCTCCACTCTCTTGTGTCTCCTCCTCTCTCTCCCTTTGTTTCCATGAGTTGAGCTACGTATTGAAAAAGCAAAATTTGTACCATGCGCTATGGCACACTTGTCACTAGTCGAGGCAAGTGGCATAGTGAGGAAACTCCTCACCGCACTTACACGTTCTACCTCAAAATGCTGTTCTTCTACTTAAATCTATTTATGCAACATCCTAAAAGGCAAAACAACATTTCACCCTCCAAAACCTTAATCACGTATTAAATTATTAATTCACCACTTAATTAGTAATAAACTCTAGAGTTTAAAATTCAGACGTTACAACAATAATGATGCTAGTATAAAGATAGGAACAAAAACAAAATAAATGACAATAATGATGCTAGTGTAAAGATAGCAACAAAAAGTAGAACATCGTTCTTTATATTAGTACTGGTATTGATAAGAACAGTTACGAACAAAGAGCATAAGTCAATGCAAGTAGACCTAATATAGTACTAGAAGTATTCTCGTTAGCCCAAAGGACAACTAGTACCGAAATTGAATGAACAATATTGGTATATAGGAACGATACTAGTGGAGAGGATAGAATACTGATAGTAACATTAAAATTGAAATACGCGGTCCAATATTGATAGAGAGCAAGATTTAGGGTATGTTTGAAACCTCCCCTCCCCATCCCCTCCTCTCCCCTCACCCTTCCCTCCCCTCCCCTTTCCTCCCCCCTAACCAAACATACCCTTAACGGAATTGAGACAATTGTACTAGTAGAAACACACTAGTATTGGTATTGTTAGGCTACGAAATAAGGAATCACTCTAAGTACTTGATATCAAAAGAGGAAGTCTAATACCCAAAGAAACATGAACAACATGTGAAGCTCAAGATTAGTATAAGACATTTGTACCCAAGGATTTAAGAAAAGAAACGAAATAAGACTTAGAAAGAATTTGGGTAATGTCAAATACACAACCCATTGAGAAATTGGGAATCAGAGGCTTAAGACTTAAGAATGTTCATACTGATATTAGTAGTATTATGCTTATATCAGTAGTAATATTACTTATGAGCAAAAGCCAAAGATAAATGCACATGGATTCATTTATACCTTAATTACCCTTTCCATATCCTTAATTTATCCTATTAAACAAAAACTTCTCTAATTTGTTATCATCAAAATTAGGATTCAACATGATTAACAAGCTAGACTAAAACCCTACTTAAATTGAATGCATTGAAAGCTAAGAATTAGCCTATTATCGTTTGGGAATGATTTGTTTTGTCAACAATTTTATCATATCGTTTGTTGTTGTTAATTCCTCCCAAACTCACAACTTGTTCATCAATTTGTCATGTTTAGGCATTTGGCTATATTTGAATTTTGCTAGGGGACGACATCTTGTCATCCCTCCGTCAAAATTTGCAAAATTATAATTTTATAAATAATTATAAAGATAATTTTATAATTATTATCTTTATAATTATAATAAGTACTGAACTTAAAATAAAGATAATTTTATAAATGTTCCTCTGGCCAAAAAATAATATTTTATATAAAATATTACAGACTAAATATTTTAAATTTGAACTATTAAAATTAATTTTAAATGTCTTAGATTTCACCACAGTGATGGGTTGGGTGCTAAAAACTCAACCCATGAATCAAATTGTATTTGTTTTTTATTTTTTTAAAAAAATCCTGTTTATTCCACTACGTTGCACCAAGAGGTGGAGTTCTTAGTACAATGTAACCTGGGTTCACTCATAATTGTTTTTTTAAAAATTAAGGCTTCGCATACCGAGAGACCGAAAATATTTCAAGAAATTCTAGTCAAGGGACTGACTTCTAATCATGGGTGAACTTAAGGAGCTAGAACAAAGTATCCGACAACAATTTATTAGGCACAAATTATTTTGTTGAAAACTATCAAATGTTAAAGTTTGCTCACGTGAAAGTAATGGGGTTTAACGCCTTAAGCATATGCTCAGAGTTCAGAACCTCTTGGCGTAAGAAAATATATCGTGTCCTTTGTTTTCATTAAACTTTGGATGGAATCAACCATTGTTGGCCATATCAAATAACTTTTTAAGTTTTTCAAATATGCTTTGAAATCTATAAAAGCCTCTCTTAAACTCACTGCTCCTCTGGTCCTATTTACAGGATAGAGAGAAAAAAATTTAATCTTATCTATAAAATATTTTTTAATTTTTAATGCTCTTTTTTATATTTTTACTCTTATTAAATGCTTTGAATAAAAATATCAATAATAAGATTTAAGAATACTTATTAGAGTAAAGGTAAAAATTTATTAAATTTTTATACAAAGTTAATAAAATTTAAAATTTTGTTTAATTTTAATAAAATATATTAAAAATAATTTATAAATAAAATTAGAACATCAAATTTATGAAGACACATTTTTTCTTCTCTCTCTTATCAATATGTCATATTTGGCTATATACCAAATTTTAAAGTCGTCCCTCAAAACACGAGAAAACTGTCAAGGAAGTTTCAAAACATTGTGTATTGTGCAATGACGTATGCACTAAATGGTTCCTGAATATGGAAAACAACAAAAATGCCTGATAATAAGAAATTTGAATGTTTTTAAAAGAACGAATTCAAGTCCAAACTATTAGTTTTCACTAAATTGAATTAATAAATTTAAATTTAAAATTTAAAATGTTACATTTCAGATCTTATTTAAATATTTTTGTTTGAATAGTTTAAAAAGCTCTAAATAAAAAAGAAAGATGAGTTGAAATTCAAAATGAAAATAAAAAATTGATTGATGAGGTTATCTCTAATTTTTAATTGATGAGAGACAAGAACCAAAGAAAATAAAAAATAATAAAATCATGAATATATTAATAGTGAAAACACAAAAAAAGATACAAAATATTTAAAGTGATTGTAATTTTAAATGACGATGATGTTAAAAGAATTTAAAATTATAAATGAATTATAATGAGAAATGAATTTGAATTTGATAAATTTTTTAATATTTAAAGGAGGGATTCATTTCAAATCCAAATTTCTATGAATTCAAACACATCTAAATAATATTGTTAATATTATTTAGTTTGATCAATTTATCTTTTCAACGGGGTTGATGGTGCGGCGGCCTTGAAAGCTAGGACGTGAGATTGGATGAGGTAGGGGCTTCAACTAAACAGAGAAATATGAGAATTATTTAAACCACCTTGGCTAGTTGAGGGACTGGCATTAAATATCATCTAAATTTGGGATAAAAATAAATTTGAGGTAGGCTCAGTTTTGTTTGTTTTGTTGACAATTTTTTTGTATATTTTATTTGAGTTAAATATTAGACAGCATAATTGACATGTAACTAACTCCCATATATATGTTTATATTATTTATTTACTAACATGTAAAATGATTTTCTAACATTTATATTTTTCTTATGACACCCAAACTTTCACGTAATAATAAGGGAATACAAATCGCTTTCAATTATTTGATAATGGTCATTCAATTGAAAAATAGAAATACCCTCTTTGTTAAAAAAATATAAAATATTTTTAAATGAATATCACCCTTAATAAATTAATTACTCCCTCTATTTAAAAAAAATATTTTTATTCAAATCTCACTTCTAATAAAATAATTATTTATATTTAAGCTAACTCTATCTTTTCATATTTAAAGTGTTTCATCATAAAAAAATATAAAGTAATATATTTAATAGGAATATTTTTTAAAAAAAGATAATAATTACATCTTAAAAGACTCAAAATACCTTCATTTTTTAACATATAACTTCTTAAAAAAATACCTTATATTTTTGAATAAAAAGAACAATAATTTTTAAACTAATATCATCTTTGTATATTTATCTTTTTTTTAATAGTGTGTTTCATTTAAGGGCATATTTGAGAGTATATAACGAAATAAAAAGGAACAGCTGTTAATGTAACGGAATAGGGTTGTGTGGGATGGAGCAGAATAGAATATTGCATTATTTAAAAGTTTTATCATAGGAATGAATAATTTTATTTAAAAATTATTATAAAATTAATATATTTAAATTAGATATTATTATATCTTGTCAATGTTAAGGTGAAAGGGAGTGAAAGAGTGAGAGGAGGTGAGAAGAATAAGAGTAATTTTACAATGATATTATTTATATCATGTCATTTTATTTTCAGCCTTCAAATTGGGAAGTCAGAAAAAATGAACTAATGACTAAAGTTGACTTGAAAAGTTATTCTAGCCATTTCCCTCCTTCTTTTGAAGAAAAAACTCTTAATTAATGATATAGAACTTTTAGCCGCCCCACCCTATTTCGTTTCATTTCGAAAAAACTACCACACAATATATAAAAGTAAATATAAAATGATTCATTTATTAAAAATATATTTAAAAATATGTATCAATTATACTTTTAAATATTAAAAATATCTTGTATTTTTTAACATTTAATTTTTAAAAAATACATTATATTTTTTATTAAAGGAAGTGTAAAATAAAAGAAAAATTGCTGGTGAACACAGCAAGCTCCTCATTAATCCGCCGTATGGTTCCAAACGTGAACTTTGTCTGTGCGCGAGTGATATGAACGAAGAAATGAAATAGAAAACAAACATCAGTAGCTCGTGCTTATTTTCCATGCATGTCCTGGGAGAAAGGGGGGAAGCAAATCTGGCAAAGGTTTTGAAGTTAGTGATTAGCTTAAATTCACTCATTTAATGAATGTTTTACATGATACAATAACTATTATTGATTAAGAAATTTTATCACATGATACTCAAAAAATCTCAAATTTCAAACTTCTAAAAGAAATAATGTAAATATATTAATGTTCTAATTGTGAGAGTTATTATAAATTTTAAAAAATATAGAAAAAATAATGAACAAAGATCCTTTAACAAACTTATTTTAAATTAAGCCCCTAAATTTATGAAATATCACTAAGTCTAGGGGTCCTGATCTGACATTAAATTTTTTGAAGAAAATGACAAAATTGGCTATCTTTTAAATTAATATTAAAATTGCTCTATTTCATTTGTTCATTACCTTATTTTCATATGATTTTGTTTCAAGTATTCAAATCATCTTAAGACAACTTATTTAGTTCTATACTATATATTATTCATTTATTTATAAATTATTATTCATTGTTTTATTTTATTTGTTCATTGACGGATTTTTACTTGATTTTATTTTAAAAAAATGAACAAATAAAGTAGAGTAATGAATAACATTTTATAAATAAATAAATAAGTAAAATAGAAAAATGAATAAATAAAGTAGGACGGTTCTAATGTTAATTTAAAAGAAAGGCAATTTTGTTATTTAAAAAAAAATTAAAATCAAGATCCCTAAACTCCGGTGATATTTCAGAAAGAAATCTAAGACCTTTAATTTAAAATAAGTCTAGTCATGGAGTCTTTATTGATATTTTCTCAAACATATATGTTAATAATTTTTAACCCCAAATGACCGAATGCCCGCAAGTCTCTACCTAGTTCATCCTCCCAGTTCTTTAAGCGCAGAAACTGATTCTTGAAGACTTAAATCACGAGTTTCACTCGACCAGACGGAAAATTACACTCTAATACGGCAAACAAACGAAGTTCATAGTAGCAGTCAGATGAAGGCACGAGTTTATAATGCCAGATAAAAAAAGACGAAGAACAAAACAACGGATACATAAAATTCAATGCGAACTAATTAAGGAAAATTTCCCCCAAAAGATCACGGCATTACAGAGACATGGGGTCTAAAAAGTTCAGTTTTTTACTCTCAATAATGAGATACAAATCCTCCAATGGACTATTCCTTCTTCCAAGCAAACAAAATCAGGGAAAAGTCACGAACTTGCATGATCTGGGTTTGTTCCTGGAGTTGGTGGGTATAAGCCTTTGTCACAGCAGGAGAATTCTCATCAGATTGACATGCCCACATCTTCTGCAACGAGAAGTGAGTTTGGAACATAAAAACTGCGTTGCCTGTATCGTTCCCGAAGAGCCAACCATGAACATCCCAAATCACTTCCACGGGAAAGCCATCGACCCAAATGGTTTTGTTGCCTCTGAACTTCAAGTCCAGTCGCTTTACCTGCGTCGCTATCTTTTTGTCAACTTCAATCACAAGACAAGGCCCTCTAACAATTGTGTCAAAGCAAAACTCAATTGTTATATCATGTATTTGCCCCTTATCACGAAATTGAGACTTTGCACTGTAACACTTCTTCCCATATATGTGTTCTCTCCTGGCAATTAAAACAGTAGCACACTGAGAAGGGTCAGCTTCTATCTTCTTGCAGGCCTCGGTTTTCAGATTGCCCAGGAGTAAGACCAGTTCTTGGTTGAATACAACAGCTAAATAAAACCCCTCCAATGGCTCTGGTCCGTAAGCCAATTTAGCAGATGTTAAGTCCCAAAACAGGTCGACTTTGGTAGTACCGACCAGTAAAGTTTGGGAGCCTTTTCTCGTTGAGAACGACCATGGCTGTATTTCCATCTTACAGAGGCGTTGATTGCCTGAGTCGTCCATTTCAACACTCAGGTCTTCACCCATGAGATTTTTGGTCCATGATACCGTGATCAAGCAGGAACAACCTTGTGATTCACTTTGATAGACACAGGTAGCCACATTTTGTGATGCTCTTGTGGTGCTTGAGAAGGACGATTCAACGACCTCAACGTCACTTTCTCCAAAGCAAGGGGAAAATTCCTTCATGGCTTCTTTCACAAGTGATCTGAGTTGAGCTCGAGGGGAGCAGCTATAACTAAAAAGCTTCAAGATTGGCTTCAAAATGCTTCATTTTTGCTGGGTCTGTATTTTCTGAGAATGGGATACTAGAGGAGGAATAGAGAGATCAGAAGAAGGCAGAAAAACAGATGAGGATGGAGAGAGAGTTGGTCAAAACTTAATTATCTCCTACCCTTGAAAACAAGGGTACATTACAATTTAGGCTATATTTTAATTACTCTCAATAACTTAATTCACCTTAAGCTAGAGCAATTATATATTATATTCTAAATTTTAAAATCATCTCTCAAAATTCACAAGAATTGTCGAGACAGTTTTTTTGTTAAATCTGTCAGAACAGTTTTAAATTATTATATATCGTCCAATGTCATGTGCAAGAAACGGTAATTTTCAAATGTTGAAAATGACAAAATGGCTAAATAAGATTAAATTAGACTTTACCTTCTTTTATGTGGCAAAAAACTCCAATGCCTTTACTACCAAAGAGTTGTTTGGTCACTTGAAAGGAAGGAAATGTAATAAATTAAATAAATATAAAGATAAAAATATAATAATCAAGATGTGAAAAAGAAATAAATGAATCATGTTTATGAAGAAAAGAATAATTTAATTTATGAAATTGTGAATCATTCATGAATCTATTTCATTTCTATCATTTTGAATAATTAGACAACTCTTAACTTACACTATGTGATAGTATTGTTAATGTAATGTGCTCAGCCTCTTTATTCCCTTTCAATTTTGGTTTTGAATTTTGATGGCATGGTGACTAGAAATATGTCAAGGCTTCAATTATAGAGACTTGGAGATTTTGAAATACTTTGATTAAGGGGCCAAAAACAAAACTTTTTGCCCATGGTTCCCAGGCACACTTAATTTTGTTAACAATTTTATCATATCTTTCGTTTCGACGAAGCATGAGGCGGAATTTACTTGATAACAAGTATTTACGTAATTAACAAATTTATATATGTTATAAAATCTTTAATCTTAAATGGCATTTAAGACACCACAATTTCTCCCCTAACATGTCATGTATGTTTGACTGCATTGGAAGCAGGTTTGTCCTCCACATCTATCTCCAGGCTGTACTTTTAAACTAAGAAATGTTATCAAAAAGCTAAGATGTGAGATCTTGATGAATTAAGATTGCAGCTATTGAAAGTCCTATAGATTTTAAAACATTTTAATTACAGGACTAGATTCAAATATTAGCTAAACGATGAGGCAGTATTGCTTTTAATAACAATTTTTTTCCATTTTATTCATATGATGATTGAATATTAAATATAAATATTTCTCTTAAAAAAATTTGAACATTAATTCATTACATTATGAAAGACTAGTTTTTTTTCATTAGATTCAATCCTTATTGGTAGCATTACTGAAATTTCTATCCAACTTAAACCAACAACAATGGTGGCACTGGGGCACTATCTTCTGTGATGTATTTTTTGGTTGAAAAAGCCACTATCCATGTTTTTTGTAATCTTCACTAAAGAACTGCCCCCATAGCCTGCTTTTATTATTATTATTTTTCTTTTTTTGGGTGCTGAACCCAACAATCATCATAAGAAACAATCGATGACACGGTGATTTCTTTCCTAATTTATCATGTTTGACTCCGCCAAAAAGGAAGTTTATACTTGATATTTTAAGGGTTAATTGTTAGCGTGATATTGTCTGATTTTCTTCTCCCCTTTCAGCGCTGATTTTAACGATATGGGGACTTAAGAGGCTAGGATGTTAGATTCATGTAAGAGTTGGATGAATTAAGAAAAGTACTCAAAATCGGGCAAAACATTGAACCAATTAAATTGTTTAATCAAAAGTTAATAGTCAAAATCCTGTTTAAATGAAGAATTTTATTGAACCAGGGAAGGCTGTTTAATAATTTATCAATTCAATGAGTGGATTTAACCTTGATTTTAATACTATAGAATTAAAGTTTCAATCATTGTCGTTTTCATCGTACAATAATCTTTCCTGTTTTCTTAAGTTATCATGTTAAAATATGTAATCTATATTAGTGACTTGACATGTATCTCTGATTAAATGAAAACAAGCTAACTTTCCTAAGTCATCTTATTTCTTTATTTCTCTTATTTTTTTTTTATTTTCATAAGTCATCAAATAGGGGAAGATAAGAAAAATAAAGAAATTATATGACTTTGTGAAAGACTGGCTTTTTTTTTTTAAGCTCGCTTAATATACACATTAAGTCATCAAAATTTTTAAAATATCACGTTAATTTAAAAGTCAATTTATGCTTGAAAATTTAGAGGACTGATATGATAGTTTTGTGAAAAAAATTTAAGAGATTAATTTTGATTATCAAAATAATTTTGACAGACTAAATTAATAACCAAAGGCAAAGAGACTAAAAATTTTATTACATACCGGATTTTTGCTTTTGATATACACTTTGAATTTAAAATTTGATTTCATGCCCGCCGATAATCTTCTTCACTGAGTAAGATCTAATGGAAGCAAAAGTGAAGATAAAGCCTTCATTCTGAATTAGCTCCACGGTGGGACCAGCGCCATCTTTCCATCACCTCCCCTCAAAACCGACCTCTCATTGGAGCTCGAAATATGAGCCTGAGTTATATAAATTGACTCAAATAATTGATCATAATAATTGGGTTGGATCAAAAAATCGACTCTGATGAGAACGAGTTTTTTATAACTCAGATTACATAACTTGTCAACCGTATAGATTAATCTTGATGTATTAAAATTGATCCATTTTACTCATATTATTTTAAAAATTAAAAAAAGAAAAGAGGAAATTTTGTAGATATAAATTATATTGAACATGACTTTTTTAACTAAATCAATTCATATATCTTTTACACATATTATAAATTAATATTTTGATATATCTAAAATGAATTATGAAGGAATATTAAATTGAAAGTCATTATTTAAATATATTTTTAAAAAATTCATGAAAACTAAATTGAAAGAAAATAAAAAAAAATAAGTTAGCCCATTTAACCTTTGATTTTCAATAGTTGGCTTGAGTTGAGACTATTTTAATATATATAAAAATAAATTAAACGTAATTCAACTCATACAAACTAACTCATATAATTTAGATTGGTTTATATTTTCAACTATATCTTTCAATGACGCTCGAACCTCCAAGTTTATATGCGCATGCCGTGTCTGGTGTTTAATTTGAAACAATCTAGCATTAATTGAATAGGATATTTTTTTTCTTTCATTTGAAAAATAGAAATGTATCCATTTTTTAGGCTATTATATTTTATTTTAAATGGTTGTACACTTTATTTTTAAAAAGGAAATAGAAAAATATTTTTTTCAAAATATTGATGTTAGAATAGAAAAATAAAAGAAAAAAATGCCAACTAATTTGATTTTAAAATATTTTAATCATGTTAATTTAAATATGAGTTTGGCCTTTAATTTATTTTAATTCAAAAAAAGTCTCACATGGATTTGGAAACACAAAGAATGTGACATTATTTTGGATTTGGATCTGTTGAGTAGCACAAATTCACTCATTTAATTATTGTCTCATATGACACAACAACAATCATTCAATTAAATTAAATTATTGTTAGAATCTTTGTCATATGATATTTAAAAACATTAAATCTCAATTTTTTTAGAGCATTAGAGGAGATAGAGAGTACGTGATGAATGTTTTGAATTTTTTTAAAATATTAAACATTGATGAAATTTAATAGTTGTGATAAAAACACTCATTAAGTTGGTGAATTTAGGTCACTCATGAATCCAAATTTTATTATTTTTAGGACAAAACTTATGTACGTAGTCTTATATATTTAATATATTCTTATCCAATCAAATCAAAACAAATTAATTTTAATGTGCTAATAATATTAATAATAATAATTTATTATAAAATAAATAATTTATAAAATATTTTCATGTCTTGATTAAATTAAAAAGGCTAAATATATAAGTTTTTATTTTTATTTTTATAGTTCTCTCTTTCTCTCTTCCCATTTTCATCTATTTTCTCTTGTCCCAACTTTTTATACCATCTTTTTTTTTTTGGCCAAACACCATCCAAACATACCATCCACATGCATTTCACTTTTGTCACATTCATATAATTTGTCATGGGAACAATAACAAGTCATTATTGAAATAATCTTGTCCGCGCCAAGATGTTTCAAATGCATCGGTCAACGCTGGCAAGGCCAATGTGAATATTTTTCATTTTGCTTTTGACTTTCCATGAAAATGCGTTTGGCTGCCGACCTTTCGTTACAAAACTATACAAAATAAGAGATACTTGGAATGAGATAATTGGAGGGAAAGGTCGATTGATTCTTATTCACTTGCACATAAAACATGTGTGTCATATTATTTTTATTTATAAAGTTTCATCACTTGATTCAACTAATCACGAGAGTGAAATCAGCTTATCATAAAATTTTAAATTTAAATTTTAGTATATACAATTGTATTCTATAAATATGCTAAAGATAAACTTGACATATAAAATATAAAAAATCTAAGAGTTATGAAATTTTATAAACATAAACTTAATCTAATATTTACGGCAATTATAACAATTTGTAAAGCAAAAATTTCACTAAGGACGCCATAACCATGGATATTAAAAAGGAAAAATGATAACAAAATATCTTTGAATTATGTAAATAACATTTTGATCCCTCAAAATACTGTAATTCCTTAAAAAATTTTAGAAATTTTTTTGTCATTAAAGAATTAATATAAATGAGTAAATTACCCTTAGTTCAAGATTTCAAGTACGAATTTACAAATTACTATTACATTCTTGTGATTTAAAAAAAAAAGTTGTAAATCTTAAAACATAACTTATGAATGATAATTGATATTTACAACACTTGAAGAATATTAGGATTTTAAATACAAACTTGTGAATTGTCATTGAATTCTTGCAATTCAAAAAAAAGTTGTAAATGTTAAAACAAAACTTGTGA